AAAACAGGCCTAACCTGTTAATGTTGCTGGCAACATTAATAGGCTCATTACAATTTTATTAAAACATATCAGCAAATAAATGCTTTTTTGATAATAAAACAGTATTTAAAATAAGATGTGGCTTTTTTAGAAAAAGGAATAATTATCTTATAATACCTTTATAAACCATCTATATAGAACTTATATTTCATCCAGTGACTGGCATCCTTCTAAATCCCTGTACCTTGTGGAAATTATTTCTTTATAATGTTATGTTTGGACATTGATTTAATTCCAGAGTTAAACTATTCCACAATCCTACACCACATATGGTATAGAAAAACTTCTGGTTGTCCAAAAAACTATATCTTTAAATTTAATGCAGCCCTTTAACTCTAACCCCTGTCTATCCCTCTAGAAATCACAACACATTGTTCCTTAACTTATGCATTGGTTATTGTTGTTGTTAAAGCTCTTTTTTGCAATAAATACAGTGGTTGTAATTAACTTTTCTAAGTATTTTCCCAAAACCTCCACACAGTAACTTAAATATGATAACACCAAAGAACAAACCAAATTTTTTGCAGTGTATTGCACCAAGTCCCACTCTGCTCTTCCTTTTCCTCTCATCTCAGCCCTTTCCTCCTCATGTTCCTTGATCACCACATCCTTCCTCTCAGAGGCAGATAAAGAGAGACTGACTCACACCCATGTCCAATTAGGCTGACATGTGACTGGACTCAGAGCAGGAATCCAGGATTTTCCCTCCTGCTGTGTCATTTTCATGGAGATGGCTCAGCCTGAGTCAACCTTTGACTTCCTCTACTGAATGTATAACCTGTCCATGGTCCATCTCAGAGTCTTTCTTACCTTTGGTCTATCTGGATTAACACATTATCTGATACCTGGAAGGAGTTATCTATGTTATATGTAAACTATCTCAATGTTATAGGTGAATATGTCCTTCTTGTCATGCTTACCTATACCATAGATATGTAGTCAGCTCTGCCTCACATCTCAGTCTTACTCCCAATCTCTGTATGTGTGGCTCTCTTTCCCTCTCATTTGGCCAGGTAACAGCACTCAGAGAGATGAGAACAAATATAACACCCACACTATTCCTTTACGTCAGTGGAGCAATTCTCCACCCAAAAACACTTTGACATAAAACAACTAACCTATCACATGCACGCACATAATCTAGAGTGTGTGCTGACAGTTCAACTCTCAACTCTCAAACAGTCGATGATGAGCAAGATCCAACAGTCGAGCACGGGACAAACACACAGAAAACAAGGCTCTACAGTAGCCTCTCGCTGCTCCTCTGCTCAGGAGTGGTGGGGAGGGGGGTGTCACTAGCAAGACAGTTCCCATGGCAACATTCAGGTGACTCACCAGCCGGTGATGCAGTTGCCGTGACAACCTGCAGCAGTGTGTAGTCGAGTGAAAGGGGTGAATGCATCCGTGGGTGTTTGTTGTCGTGGGTGCAGAGGCACAACGCCGCAGACCAAACAAGCGGTGAGCAAACAGAACTGACTGAAAGGTCAAAGGCCGAGGGATTAGCTCATGCTAGAAACAGATTAGAAAACAGTGTGGATGACAGTGAAAAGGTACACCGAATCAGGTATAAATCGCTGAATGGTTGCTGCTTTAGTTATAAACGCATTTTTAGACTGAAAGAAGTTAGAAGTTACTCAGAGAGCAGTGCAAATACAATATTTGCACTGCTTCTCAAGAAGTACACCCATGCCTGGAAGAAGATTTTTTAGCAATCAGTAATACACTTTCAGTTCAATTCAGTTTTATTTACACAGTGCCAAATCACAAGAAGGTAGAGACCCTACAGTAATACAGAGAAAACCCCAAGAAGCAAACAACTACTTTTGAGGAACCATTTGGTGACAGTGGAAAGGAAAAGCTCAGTTTTAAATAGGAAAAAAAAACTCGATCAGAACCAGGCTCAGAGAGGGGCAGCCATCTGACATCAGCAGTTTGAGGTGATGGGCAGAAGACAGAATAGAAGATACATTGTGGAAGAGAGAGATGCAACGCGATCAATATTCTACATCAACTATTTCGTTTTAACACCCAAATCTAGCAGCTGACCACTTTCTATTAATGTCAGTATTGAATGTGGAAGATGCCATTAAATATTTATCAATGAACCCTAGTCAATGCATTTTAATTATTTCAGTTGTTTGCAGAAACAGTTATTTAGCTCACGGATAAAATATTTATTTCCACCTGCTCCTAGACTAAAAGGAACCTCAATATTTAGGAATATAAACGAGCAACTGTTTGCATATGATATTAATTAGTTATTAATTTGCTCCAACCCACGTTTTTTTGTAGATTTAAACTACAGTAACAGTAACAGACTCTGGGTGCTAATCTGGCAATGAAAACCTCTGTAATATGAAAAGATGGCAGTCCTAAGCTGTTGAGCAGTTGAAATTATATACAAAGCAAGGCAACAGAAGCATCTGCTCTCCATGCACAGTGATAAACAGGCCTCTATTCTAACTTAATATATTTTAAATTATTTTTAATATATATTTATGTATATATATATATATATATATAATATTATATATATATATATATATATATATATTTTTTTTTTTTTTTTTTTTACACTCAGTCTTTCAAATTTTTTTTTTTTTTTTTTTTAATTAAAGTTTCAACTTTTGATACGATGTCAATTAAATATTGAGTTCCAATCGTTGGTAAGCTTTTTGTTGACAAAGCTGAAGCAGCAGCAGGATCTATAAAGATTTTAAGGTTATGTTTATGAGGTGATAAAGACAGGATGAAAATGAAGTACACAAATTAAAAGTACGTTTTAGGAACTAATTATTACTGGGGAGTGGAAAATTAAAATAGAAACTCAGACCTCATCTGTATATTACCCTGATACTAACATCTAATCTCGGTCATCAATTTTAAAAATCAGCTAAGCTGCCTTAAATAAATGAAGACCAACAAAAGCCACCATATTTTTAACAATGCATGTATCCCAAACACTGCTGCTCTCACTCTCACCCACTGTCTCCACACTTGTTTACTGCCATAAAACTGTGTGTTCATGTTGAATAGGCAATATGTTTGGCTTTCAGCTGGCTCGTTTCTGCTACTGAAGTCGTGATCTTCACAGCAGTGGGATTTTCATATGGATCATGGCTTGTACTTGAATGTACCATATGTTCCACTGTCAAATTATTCTAAGACCATTCTAAGATTTTCTGCAGTGACAGACTGTACATTTTCTGTATGACATTAACGCCATAACGCAGCAAATCTCCGTTAACGAGTTACCGCGGATCGCCCCATGAGTGGGGCTGGACGGCGTCAACACGTTAACAAGCTAACTGCGCTAATGCACTAATTCCCACCAATTGAGCATTGCGTGGCACATCCACCATACTGTTTTACTTTTGTCGATGACGCGCTTACCATCAGGGTCATACTTCACATGAAAACCAAGATAGTTCCAAACGCCAGATCTGAATGAGGGTGGGGGAGGTTCAATTACGAGCTTAGCTTCTGTCTTGCTAGCTTGCGCTGCGCTCGGTGGATCTGCACTCGACAGTGCAGCCTAGGCGGAGTAGGCGAACGCAGATTCACTGAGCGCTCAACACAGACAGCATCGTCAGAAGAAAAGTTGATAAAATAAATACATTTTTTTGTATTGTTCGATACATATGCGTACCGAACCGAAAGCACTGTATCGAACGGTTCAATACTGATACGAGTATTGTTGCACCCCTAAATAAAACCTACACTTACTGGCTACTTTCTTGCCCAAATATCCAATCAGCCAATCACATGGCAGCAACTCAATGTATTTAGGCATGCAGACATGGTTAAGACATCAAGTTCAAACAGAGCATCAGAATGGGGACTTTAAGTGACTTTAAACACAGCATGGTTGTTGGCACCAGACAGACTGGTTTGAGTACTTCACAAACTGCTCATCTACTGGGATTTTTCCACACAACCATCTCAAGGACTTAAAGAGAATGGCCTAAAAAAAGAGAAAATATCCAGTCAGTGACAGCACTCTTGGTAACGCTTTAACCCTCTCGACCCAGGCGTTGCCAATTTGCAACAGTTAAAAACTAACAACCCGATTACCCCACATACATATTTTATGAGGGTTTTTTTTACTCAGAAGTACCACTGCAGGACTTGGTTGTGCATTAGCAACAAAAAGTTTAATTTGAGCCTGAGAGGGTTAAGAGTGCAGAAGAGAATGTTCAGACTGCTTCAAACTGATAGAAAGAAAGCACTAGCTCAAATAACCACTATATACAACCAATGAATGCAGAGGAGCATATTTGAACACCAGGTGCCACTCCTGCCAGCTAAGGCTTGAACTGAGCCTTCAATTCACATTGCGCAACAGAACACTGAAAAACTGCTGCCTGGTCTGATGGGTCTCATTTTCAGCATGGGCACAATTTGGTGTAAAGAACAGGAAAGCATGGATCCAACATGCCTTTTATCAAAAGTTCATGCTGCTGCTGGTTGTGGTCAGTGTGGGGGATATTTTCTTGGCACTGAACGTTTTTTACCTTAGTATTGTTGCTGACTGTGTAAACCCCTTTGTGACCACAGTGTGCTTGCAGAATATCTTGCCATCTCTCAAAGCTCAAATCATCTCAAAATGGTTTCTTGAACATGATAATGAGTACACAGTACTCGCACAGTCACCAGATCCCAGGGGTGGAATAGGATGTTCACATCATGGATGTGTAGCATCATGTTAATTCAGACCAAAATCTCTGAGGAACGTTTCCAGTACTTGAAAATGTGCCATGAAGAATGAAGCCAATTCTGAAGGCAAACTTGGGTCCAACCTGGTACTAGCAAGGTGTATCTAATAATGTGTCTAAAGTCTTAGATATTCAAGTAAGTATTATATTTACATAACCTAAATAAAAGGACACCTAAGTTTATAAATGCAAGTTACTGGACTGTTTTAGTATTTTAGGTGCCAGATACATGTGTAGCTATCCTACCATTGCGTGGACAGGCGTTGAGTCGTTGATTGATATCAAGAGAGGAGGGTTTGCGTGTGACAGCGGTGGTCACAGACTCATACGGGTTGTCCTCGTCTTCTGGAAGGAAAACATCCAGCGAAGGAGAAGTGACGATCTCTGCCGAACGCTTTGAATCCTGGGAGGGAGAAGAAGAAAAAAAAACACGGAAAGAGAAATGGTAGGGTAGTTTGTTAAACATATCATAATAGCCACCAACAAGAAAAATCTGATAGCTGTTTTTCTTTACACCACCATAATTTTACATGTTTTATTCAAATGATTCCACTGGAAGCTACCAGCCGCACTCCATTCATTATAAGACAAACACCACTAATTACATCATTAATTATGTACTTCAGCCAAACTGGTATTATACCCTTCCAGAGACCCATAGATGATGTGTCATGTTAATGAATGGTCTTTGAAAAGGGAAGTGAAGAAGCCTCTGATTGAGTCCAGCCAGGAATTCTTATTTTGTGACTTTTTAAAAGCAAGAGAGGGCAGATTTTCTTTTTTTTAAGACAAAAAAAGGTCTGTTAAGGGGCTAAAGTTCTTTTTGTTTGCCTTGGCCTGAGGTACTTCATTACAAACAACAAAGGAAAATAACCACATCAGATCAGTAATGCGAGTTCAGCTCAAGGCTATCATTCAAGTCCAACCGTGTTCACACAATTGGATTATCATCAAAGGTTTAGGCCAGTCTTCTTTTAAAATAAAGGGTTGGAAAAAGTTTGAAGTTTCCTCGTTTCTTTAAAATCCGAAAGTCACTTTGGGCTTTTGTCCTCAATGTGATCGACAAGACTTTCCTGGAGCTTTTCCTTAACACAAAAGAGACAACTTTTCCCCCATATAATTGCTGTAACATTACTGCAGTTTTTACTTTAATCTTTGAAGGCTTAATGTGACGAATCTCATGAACGTGATCAAAATCCTTTAATAATAGGATAGGATAACCAAAGCCAAACCCTAACCTTGAAGTACAAACATACAAGGGGATACAAAAGCTTTATTTCAACTTATTAAATGTTGAGAGAGCAGGCTGCTGATCTTCTGATGGTGCAATAGCTTCAGGGTATGATCACATGGCGTGAAAATATTTATGCGTAAAAGAGGAAAGGAGTCACTAAGAAAAAGAGGACAGAGTTCATACATTAAAGGTAAAAAAAAAAAGGCAGAATTAACCTGAAAATTTTTAATTGTTAGTTTTTCTGTTTGAAATACAAATTAAATTAATAAATAAATCAAAATCCAATTATTTGCAGGGTAAAAATAGCAGCGAAGTAAATGATTATCTTGATAGGCAAGGTTTTTAAGATGCACCTTGTGCAAGGGTTTACCCCTAACCCAGCTGAGGTTTCAAGTGTGAGAAACGAAATCAGCAAAACTTCATAACAAAGACAAAAAAGTTGTGTGAAAAAGAACAAGATACATCTTAACTGCTTTCACAGGAATTAAGAGCGCAAGCAGCAACCATAGTCAGCAGGTGTGTGTTAACATAATGCCACAATCTTCCCAGGAGTGAACATATCAGCAAAGTCACCCCAAGGTTAGACAATGCTCTGAGAAACTGCAAAAGTGTGTAAAGACAGCATTATGGGCAGCCCCCAGCAGCCAAGGTCTATTGGGTTTAGTCACCTGACCCAGCCCTGACTATAAGCTTTATCAAAAGGAAGTGTTTTAAGCCTAATCTTAAAAATAGAATTCAAACTGGGAGCTGGTTCCACAGAAGAGAGGAGTAAAAGCTGAAGACAGCACGGCTTACGTTTGAAAAGTTGGATTTAAACAAACTACCTACTATTTTTGGAGTAATGTCCATAATGTTTGGCCATAATGCCCAGCACCATATATAGTAAAAACAAATATGAGCATATTAAAACTATTTAGCAAAATAACGAAGGTTAATAGAGGAGGACACCGGCTTGTTTGAAGTCCGCTATATACCAAAGTATTCTAGTGTCAAATGTGAGGCCATCTGTTTAAAAGCCAAAGCTTGGCCAAATTTGGGTCATGCAGCAGGACAGAGATCCCAAGCACAGCACGAATTGCAATGGCAAAGTTAAACTTACGACCTCAACTTCATTGAGATGCTGTGACGGGAACTGTGCATAAATGAATGCCCACAAACCTCAATGAACTGAAACAATGCTGTAAAGAAGAGTGGACCAAAATACCTTCACAATGATGTGAGAGATAAGTTCAAGTCGCTATTGCTAAAGGTGGCTCAAGGCTCAAGTGTCTTAAGGGTATTTGCAAACATTAAACTTTTGTCTTTGTAACATTTTTAACTTATTTAACGGACAACTAGTTTAGGTCTAAGGAATAGGGGAGTTCTTATTTCCATTCACAAATTTAACTTCTATCCTAATCAAACACATGAACTTGTTTGCCTCTACTTTCTCTCTTTAGGTTTCTCTCTAGTCCGTTAACAGAGCCAGGTTGGATTTTCTTTTCCCATTTCCCCAAAATAAAAGGTTAGAAATCCAAACTTGCACAATAAACTTAAAAGGTTCCTCTTGATTATTTCTTATCCGCCCCTTAATAGAAATTACAGGATACTCTTCATTCAATTCTCTCAATAAGTGCTGTTGGACACATTTGTGAGCCTTATTGTAATTCACTCTGACTAAACTGCAGACTGCAGAATGCCTGAAATGTCATTTGCATATTAAATGAGACAGATCATTGATTTTTAGCAAAATGAGGCTTGCAGCATTTTGAAAATCAGCTCTCATTTGAATAATTTAGAATCATAAATAAGGAAATGTTTCTGTGGGACCTTTATATAACAGCCTTGCTCTCTGGGTATTTCAGGAAAATTTTAGATTGCACTTTGTTGCGGCGCTGGTGAAAAGGTTGAGCCCCAAAGGGCTCAGATAGAGAGCTGAAGCCCAAAAGGTCCATTATCTGTGAGGCAGATGTGTACCAAGAAAGAATGAAAAACAAGAGAGAGTGATGTGAAGCAGGGGAAAAGGTTACAGGGGCGAGCGTCATTTCAGCCAAAAAGACAAAACATTTCTTTCCAGCGACTCAGCCTCTGGATGTCTGTCCTTTCCCTTAGACTCCATCATCATTTCTGAAGTGTCACTTGGCAACCTTCTCCAAGTTGTACTCTTACTAATGGGATCAGTGGTGAACGTTTCACTGTGTGTGTGGCTGCCCCTGTTCTCACCATTGCTTCATACATATTTCTAAACCCAATGACTTCATCTTTCCGTTCCTCTTCTCCTAATCTCTTTTCTAATTCAACAGCCATTACTCTTCTTGTCAGCATCTGCTACTACATTACCCACACTGCACCAGGCCATCAATCACACACTGAGCACACTCAAAACTGATTAATCATTCTAGCTTACAGAGCAATCAGTCCTTTGATGATTTCTCTCGCTCACACCTTCTGCACTCAGTCTGGGATTTATTTCACACCCCACTTCATTAAAAGGCCCACAAACTCAAAGTCCCTTGTTTTTTCTACCCCTTTTCCATCTCCATCAGCACTCGATTAGGCCGCCATTACCACTAATCCAGTCAGACCCAGTCAGACTTATGCGCCTTCAGTCCACAGGTGGCCCCGTCTCGGCTGACAGATTTGACGTGACAGCCTGGTTAGCTAGAGATTTCCCTCACAGAGCTGAAGGAAAGGTTGAGAGCACTCCAGTACAGCCATAAAGAGCCATTTCTGAGACATAAAGATTATTTTGACCATTAAAGGTGCAACAAATCATGTTCACATTGATTTTAAGACTGTACCAAACCATAACCACATATGGGTTTACACACCTCTATACCCCAAACCTTTATCAGCTTCACAGTAGAGCTGACGCTTTAATTTTTTTCTGATACGTCTCAAAGGTTATTGGATCAATTCAGATTGCAACAGCTATAGAAGTATAAAGGTGTTTTTGGTTTTTGTGATAGATTTACACCAGAAATAAAAGCTTGTTTCATAGAAAACATAACAGTAACATATTCTCCCATTGAAAATAATTGCATTCAGAACAGGGCTGAGAACTGTTTTAAAAAGTAGCCTCTAAATGTTTATGGAAGATTGCACTTTTTATCTATTGTAAAACTCATTTTTGTCACTACACAGTCATGAGTAAAAATCAGGAAGCAAAACTTGTCATTATTACTGCAATAGCTTCTAAAAGCACAATCTGATTACTGCCTTTCTGCATGTATACATTGATTTACAACCTGGGGCCTCATTTATGTCACCGCATGTATGCTTACAGCAATCGGGCTGATTACTTCACAGCAACAATCAGTGGTACCCCTTACCCCAGGCTATAATATGAAAATGGAAGTTTGGTAGATGAATGCAATTTATTTATTTATTTATTTATTATATATTGTTATGGTAAATCTCACCTTCCTTGTGATTGGTGCCCATCACCAGCATATGCATTGTAATGACTGTATGAGAGCTGTCACTGGATTTATTTCCAGACTTGGCTAATTCACACAACCCATTGATTCATGATCCAAATGAGAATATGGCTGAAATGATTCATTTTTTTTACTCATTGTTTGTTTTCAAATTACAACTGAGATTCCCATTAAAGCTGTCACTTTCTGTTATAAAGCTGATGGCTCCACTGCTTTAACTTGGAAAGATTTGCCATGTTTTCTGAAGAGCTGCCTACTCTCCCAGATTTGTGCCACAAATCAGTGTAGTGTTTCTCCTGACAAACCTGACTTTCAGCATCGCCGTCACACTTTTACTGCCTCAGTATTGATCTTCTGGGGTCCAGTAAAATCTCACTTTTTAAATTTTTTTAAGAGGCTCTACCTTTTGCGGTGGATTCGTTTAGATTGATGGTAAATGGAAAAAAAAGAGTTGACTTTTTCTTTAAAGAAGCAGCAAAATAGGCAACAAGAACATGCAATAATACAAACAAAAACCATCAGAATTGAGGTATACTATCATTGAAGTGACTAGTCAGTCTGTCAGGAAGGCAACTGCTGAAAAGTAGATGGCATAATTTAATGTTTAAATAAATTTAACTGACTTTTTTGCATTACAAAATAAGTAAAGAAATAACTGGGATTTGAATAATGGGGAGCTGCGCTCATCTAGCACTGTGTCTAGCAACAATCCTGGCTTTACATGTAAGTACTGGTCACGGCAGATGGCCGCCCCTCCCTGAGCCTGGTTCTGCTGGAGGTTCCTTCCTATTAAAAGGGAGTTTTTCCTTCCCACTGTCGCCAAAGTGCTTACTCATAGGGGATTATTTGATTGTTGGGGTTCTCTCTGTATGTATTATTGTAGGGTCTACCTTACAATGTAAAGCACCTTGAGGTGACTATTGTTGTGATTTGGCGCTGTATAAATAAAATTGAATTGAATTGAAGTATATTTACAATCACATAAGGCAGAAGTTTAACATATGCTTCTGTTGAATCATATAGAGAATTATAGATAAAGATAATTTTTTACTGTTATGTGACTGACAGCTAGTAAACTTACAACTTACGGATTTAAATTTAAGGGGAAAAATTATCCTCAAACATCAGGAATTCCTCTGCTTGCATTCTCCATTGCAGGCCCTCTTAGCTGTTCCCATAGCCGGCATCATTACAAAAAGAATTTGGGCACTTTGTGTTAGAGCCCTGCAACTGTGGATGTCTTTACAAGAAGAACTGGGGAGAGCAGACTTTGCGTCTTCTTATAAAGCCATGGCTGCTGGAGACACCTAGGTGGAGTAGTCATTACTGTCATACATGTTTAAACTCTGGAAAATCAGGCACATGCAAAGTTGGTGTAATAAAATGTAGCATCTCCATGGACGAGCTCGTGCAGCTACAAAAATCATCTCAGCAAGGAGCGATCAACATTGGACCATTAGTCATACCTCAAAACGTATTTTTACGTAAAGTTGTTCTTGGTTGTTGTTTTTCTATAAGGATTGTTTTCTTATTCATTTATTTGTATTGTATTGACCTCACTGCCATATTATTTACCCTGTTTGTCCAAGTCTTATTCTGCTCTTACTTGCTTTTGTTTTAACTGTGTTTAATTTTCTTTTTGATTCTCGATTTTCAATCAGTGGCATTTCAATTTATTCTGCAAAGCATTTTGGATCTATGTTTTGAAAATTGAAGCATTATTATTACTATTAGTAGGAATGTAATCATACCAAAGGGGTTTTTCAGTGGGTCAGATTTGCCAGGAAATGCATGAGATTGCTCCAAAGCGCGAAGCTGGGAGGGGGCAGTACTTTAGAGCGAACGAAGATAAAGCTTTCCGAGTTACTGTTCACTTCCAGTGAAGAGAGGTCCAAAACGAAACAGAGACAAGTGGAACCATTGTCTTTTTAAAAGGAAGTGTCAGAGTTCATAGGAAATTCAGTTGTGATCTGAAAATAAATGACTCGCATGGTAAATTTTGGTGGGAAAAGTTATGAATAATCTCAGCTACTGTCTCCATTGTTCACAGGAACAACGAGGATGTCATTCTGTATTCCAGAGCTTTTGAAACGCTACGAGCGGAGTCACACTGATTAATAGATGCACTGAAGAAAACCATATGACAAAATCTCCAGAAAGAAATAATGAAAGCTTTGCCCCACTAGCATCTGAAGGGAGGAAAAAACAAAATGAAAAGCAGTGATGGTGAAAACTGAAAGAATGGCAATAGTTAGAACTGTAACTAACTGTATTCCTTAAATGAATACAGGTATAAATAATCAATAATTGTATTGAAAAAGACCTATTTTTGTGCTGTAACTTGTGCTATACCCTTTGCTACCAGGTATAGCTACATTTCTCTCTTTCACTTCTACATCACCTTTTATTATTCCTGTTAAATCTCCAGCGTCCACCCTGGCTGCTTTGGCAGAAACAAGGCAAAAGAAAGGAGGTCAAATCTGACAGGTGTAATAAAAACCACAGCTTTGGATAAGACTAGAAACAGACAGCGAAAAGAGAAGGGAGAGGAAAACACAGGTAGATCAAAAGGACGCCAGGATCCTACTCAACACTTACTTTGGAGTTTGTGTCAGCGAATCCCGAGGAGATGAGCACGAGACAGAGAGACAGAGCGGGAAGAGGAAAATAACTTTGTGCTCAGGAACAGAAGCAGAGGAAGTGGGAGTGCGGTAAGTTAGGAGAAAGGATTTCCTCACGCACAAAGACGAAAAATGCACAGAAATGGGAGGCAACTCAGACAACGTGCTTGTTTTTTCTACACTAAAGTAAGCCAAAGAGAGACAAGAAAGCAAGCGATCCGGCTTCACTGAAGAGAGTAACAAACTTAAAGTTTGAGCAAGTCTCTCTACAGCACATGTCCCACCTATCTCAAACAGGACAGTTGGTGCCGAGAAATCTTTCGACAGAAGCCTAGGAGCACCTGAATGTGGAGATGAAATTAATCCGGCAGGGTGACAGCAGGTTTAGCTACCTGATATTCTGATGGTATTCTCTCATTTGTCCCTGGAGGTGATGGGGGGGTCAAAAAGCTTTAAAATGTGGTCAAAAAGGCTTCACGCAGAGAAGTGTGTGCTGTGCCTCCAACAAACAGACACACTCGGTCTTCATTCATATCCCTCCCTCTCTCTCTCGCTCTATCTTAAAGGGAAGAGATAGGACAGAGAAACTTGTGTCTGAGCTGAACAGGAAGAGAGCAGACAAACAGAGGCCTCCTCTGGCCACTAATTAGCAGGTCGTATGCAGCTCCCATCCAACTGCCAGGCCAGATTAAACGTCTGACAGTGTGCGTTTTGGGTGTGTGTATGTCTATGTGCCTCCACATGTGGCCAGAAGATTGTTTCTGATTATATCTGTGTAATAATGCAGTGTGGCATTTGTACGTGTCTGTCTGCTGCAGATACAGTTTGGTGGGGGTTTTATGCGTGTGTGATCATGTCAGAGCTTTCATGCATATTTTGTGTGTTTTTCTCTGATTGAGTTTACTCTCGTTATGTATAGCATTTGTGTGTGCGTGCCTGTTTGCATGTGCGCAGGCCTGATAACCCAACCAGGAAATGTGCTGTTGCTTCTGTTACATCCGAGGAACTTAAATCCCAAATCTCTCTTTTTCAGTTAAACCCAGCGCTGTACCACCCAACAGCCAATCCACCACCCCACACTGTACACAGAGTTCACAGGCCATCAGATATGAATAGACGCTATAATTTGCTGGCATTTCCTCATGGAGACCATTTGATTAGAAAGAAAGAGGAGGGGTGAACACAAGAAAGGACAAAGGACGCTCTGAGGGCCTGAGGGGTGCGGTCAGTAGAGGATACCAATAAAGAAAAGGGACAGAACGTGAAGAAAGATTAAGGCAGTTCAAAACTGAATGGGTATGTTCTTCTTTCTTGATAATCAAACATTGACCAAAATCCCATCTGGCAACCTGCAGAATGCTGTAAAAAAAGCTGTATTTTTATTTTTTTTTAATCATTGCACAGGCACAATTGTATCCATTCTGTCAAAACTTCATCTCCATCTATGTGTTCTGTTGTGGGTTATGATTTGGGGGATTTGTTTCCCATACAATTCTACAAGAAAGCAATTAAGTACATCTCTAAAATTTCTATCCGGTCGTTAAGTCTGGCGTCACTAGCCGTGTCTGGACCTAAACTCCGCTGCAGGTCCATATATCAAACGATCACTATGGCATTACTGAGAGTTGAAAAATTCTCTAAAGTCTTTCATCTTTAATAAAATTATCAGCGTTCTGCTCTACCAGGTGTAACAATTGAGTTTAACATCCAGGCATCCATGAAAACGGAATTTATGACATTTAACGGAGTTAGAAGTTAGCAGGAAGTTAGCTCGCTAGCTTCTATCTAAATACAATATAGCATGTCCTGACTGCGGGGTTTTGGAAACAAATTAAAACGTACAGCTCTGTTATCATTTCCAACATAAATGACAACAGAAAACTAAACAGCAGTGACGTTTGTAGGGTTACTGAAGTTTGGCTAGCTGGTATATAATGATGTGCTACGTGACCGCTAGCGACACAGCTATGTTAGCATAATATAAGCTAACTTTGCTGGATGCTGTAAAAGGACCAAACTTCAGGCAGGAGAACAACTGAGATAATCCATCCACAATACGAGGTTAGTCATTCATATACTGCTGCATAGGCTGGGCTGTAGTTACATCCTAAGGTTTTAAAAACTGAGCTTAAATAAATGATTAGCGGTAATAAAAGCCGAGGGAGGTCAACAGTGATCACTGACTGTTTTAGGAGCTTTTTGAGATCAAATAGAAGAATATACAAAACATTATACATGTTAACAACACAAAAGCCATATTAAACGCAGACTACTTTAGGGCCGGAAGTAGGATTCATCACGTCATCACTTAACGACCGGATTACTGTTTGATCTCGGGTAATCACAAAAATAGGTAAGGTATAGGGAGTATTTGATTGAGAATTAAAGGACAGAGTGAAGTAAATCTGAAACTGGAAAATAGAAGAAAAGGAAAGAAAAAGTCAGAGGTGCAGGTTGGTCCAATCAGCGAGCAAGGACTGCCTTGCAGAATTGGATTTCCCTCCATGGCTGGCTAATCCCTCGAAAATTAGCTAGCTGAGCCACCCATGGGACACCGACACTCACTCCACAGAAAATTACACCCTTCACATTCCCCATGATGGCTACTGTATTGAGCAAAGCTCTAACTGCGGCTTCCCTCGGCTCCACGCTTAATCCCACAGACACGGCAACCAGCTGGAGCAAGAGACTGCAGACAGAGAGCCACTGCTGTGTGACCAAACTTTTACTGCATTTAACTGCAGGTCCCTCAACTTTGGAGGAAGTTCTGAAGCAACAAAAGGCTGCTAAGGTGAGTGTGCGTTGCGTAACGGTGGGAGAAAAAAAGTTTGCAGCAGGAAGCACATTTAGTTTGGAGCTGAAATTAACTTCCCAGTTATTATTTTATTTCCCATGGCTGCATTTACACAACCTTACTGATAAACCAGAAGCAAAAACTGAAAGCTGATATCCCATTGTTTTCAAAGCTGTTTAAATATGAACAGATTAAAAAAACAAAACAAATCTTTAACCGCTTAAGACCTTAACTCTTTTATGGCATGCATTTTCAATTTGTCTTTGCTATTTGGGCTGTTTGAGACCTCATGAATGTAAAAACAAAGAATTATGTGGGGGGGTTTTTCCTGATTTTTGTTTCTGAGAAAAATGAGATCCACATTTTTACATTTCGATAGAACAGTGGCAGTATAATGTCCTTGTAAGTGGAAATCAGGCCCTTGTAGAGCAAAATTTAGTATTTTGGTCTAGACAACCCAAAATGTGATGTCCACATATGTGCACTCTAGGTCCTAGGAGGTTAATGTAGTAGTTGATTTAAAAGTCTGATCTTGTGTTTGTTAATCACTGGCCAATATTACAAACATTTAAAACTGCTGAAAAAAGAGAATTAAAGGCAATGTATATGTCAGCCCCAAGTGAGGCAACCATGCAGACTATGCCTGGTTTTTGCAGGGACTCATGGGAATGTTAATGGTGAAGTTGTCACGCTAGCAGTATTGTTATCATTCTTGCAGTGTTTGCTTTTTGATTGTTATGTTTGTGTGTAATATGTTTTTATGGCTGAGTGAAAACTGTTTTCTTCAAGCACAGGCCACCATGACTGAGGTTACCGCAGTGGTTGGAGACCACTAACCAGCCTTATGAAGAGCCACGAAAAAAAAAAACATCCCTCCCAAAAGAAGGGCCATTGGACTTGACCTCTGTGAACACTTTTCCTGATCAGTTTATGAGCTCAGTCACTCATTTCGAGTCATACTGAAGGCTACGTCCACACGTACCTGGGTATTTTTGAAAACGCAGATTTTTCTATGCATTTGCACCTTTCGTCCACACGTAAACTGTCATGGTCCTGGGCCATGTGGGCCCAGTAGTCTTAGTTTTCATGTATGTTTGTATTTTGTTCTTTATTTAGGCCATGCTTCCTGGGTTGATCTGTTACGTTGTTCCTTATGTGTTT